GGCCATCTTTTTCCCATGGAACCACAAGTGGATTTGAACCACTTGCCTTTAGACTGAGAGGACAGTTCCTTTACCCAGCAGACCACCAAAACGCTCCCCTTTTGAGAGAGCGAGTTAAAATTCTTTATGAAAGAAAGGAACTATGAAGTTACTGGGTGGCACAAGTGGTTAAGTGCTAGATTTCTGGTTCAAACCCATCAAGAGGCTTCCTTGAAGGTCCCAGCCTTAAAAACCATGTGGAGGTCAGTTCCACTGTACACATAAGAGACTGCCATTGGGCCTTAAATCCACATACCATCAACTGTTTTAATTCCTTCAAATGAGTCCCTAAGTTGAGCAAATGGGAAAGCATTAAACTGCTCACTAGAAATTTGGAAGGTTGAGTCCACCCAGCGGTTTTGTGGAACAAAGGCCTGGAAATTTACTCTCAAAGAAAGGAGCCATTAAAAATCTCCTGGAGTCCAGTTATCCTTTGACACACAAAGCGTCAACACAATGGCAGCTGGTTTTGTGTTGAATGGTTTTTGGAGTGTCTTTCTCTCTCTCTCTTTTTTCACCCGCTTTTTATTATGGTTTGTATGAAAGTTTACAAAACACATTTCTTTTCCACTCTGCAATTTGTTGTTAGGTGCTATCAAGTTGCCTATGACTCATAGCAATCTTATATACAATAGCTCTGAATCCTGCTCAATCCTGAGCCAGCCTTATTGTCTCTAACAACACCTAACCCCATTACCCCGTCACTGAGTCAATCATTCTCATTGAGGTTCTTCCTTTCTTGCACTGTCCCTCCACCCACCCAAGCAGTCCTCTCCAAGGACTGGTCCCTTCTTGCAGTATGTCCAAAGTACATCAGGCAGAACTTCAGAATCCTTGCCTCTGAGGAGCAGCCTGGTTTCACCCTCTCTAGGATGAACCTGTTTGTTCTCCTTACAGTCCATTTAATACTCTTCTCTAGCACCACAGCTCAAAGGCATCAATTCTCCTTCTATCATCCATACTCATTGTGCAGCTTTCTGATGGACGTAACTGTGAAGACTATAGCCTGAATCAGGCGTACCTTAGACTCCAGACTGACATCATTGCTCTTCAGTACCCTAGAGATGTCCCTAACAGCTCACTTTCCCAATGCAATTCTTTTGATTTCCTGGGAGCTCTGGTGACCTAGTGGCAAGAGCTGCACTGCAGTCCTGAAGACAGGCAGTTCAAGGCCATTAGCTGTTCCACAGGAGAAGGAGGGGCAATTTCCTCCCATTCTATTAACTGCCTCAGAAAACCAGCGAGAGGGTCTGACTCTAAGGTACCCAACAACTCAGCAATTTACATACATTTTCTTTCTTTGTAACCATGTCACTCTTCCTCCTTCCTCCCTTAGTTCCTTGGGCAAATGTCCTTTTGTTCTTGTATATCACTGTTCTGATAAGTTCCTCAAGTTTGTTATCTCTCAGTTTTTAAGTATGTTTATTGTTTGGATGAAAGATGATCTTCAGGAGGTGGTTTGGCTTCAGGTCTGAAGGATCTTTAAAATTCACAGTGTCCAGTCACCAGTCTTCCTCAGACTAGTAAGTCTGCTCTTTTTTCATGTTTGGTGTTTTTTTTTTTTTAAAAATGTGTGTACCCTCACCCTCTTTTCTCCCCCTCCCAGTAAGTCTAGGATCTTCTACTATGATCCTGATCAGAGCTGAAGGTTGTGGCAGCCAAGAACTCTCTGGTCCCTGGGGAGTAGAGGTTCTAGTATGTTCTCTAGTCCCTTGTTGCAATTGTTTCCTGAGTCTTTTAATTTCTTTGCTGCAGATGAAGAGACCAATGGGTATATCTTAAATAGTGATTGGTAAGCTTTTTAGGATCCCAATTGATACAACAGTAGGACACAGGACTTTGTCTTTATAAACTGTTATGTCAATTGACCTACATGGCCTAAGTGCCCAAGCCCAGTAACTCATTCCCTCTAGGTGTCTTGTAATGGCTGGGGAATTTTCAAAATTTTGCCTCCTGAATGCTGCTCTACAATGTCCTTGTATATATTCACAGCAAATACAAATATGTAGAAACATATCCTCTCCATAGGGTTGCTATGAGTCACAGCTGACTTGATGGCATCTAACAACATTCACCAAATCTATATATACTGTGGCTTACCACCATTTATCCTCTTACATCTGTTCAGTTTGCATCTACTTGTAAATACTGTTTATTTATTGCAGGATTGTATATATAAAACCTTTTTTTTTTTAATCTCTTACTCTTCTTTTGCTTTGTTCATATTATGCTGAACTCCCTCTTACTGCATATTGCCTTTCCTTTTACCTTTTACTATGTTTACTCTTCGTTGTTGTGTACGTCGACCCTCTAGTTGGTTTTCAGAGACAGTTTAATCACCCAGTGGAGACTGCTCATCTCTCTCCAATGGAGTTGCTGGTGAATTCAAACCTTAGGGATGGCAGCACAGCTCCTTACCACTAGGTCACCAGAGCTCCCCCTACTCTTTAGTTAGTCATTTACCCTTCATTACCCTCCTACCCAAAAAAAGGATGTTATTTTCTTTGTGTAAACCTATTCTCTACTTTTATAAAAGAAAACTCAAACTGTGTGTGTGTGTGTGTGTGTGTGTGTGTGTGTGTGTGTATTGGTCTTCTTGTGAGTGACTTATTTCATTCAGCATAATGTTCTCCAGGTCCATTCACATTATGAGGTGTTTTCACAGATTCTTTGTTAATCTTTAATGTTTCAGATTATTCCATTGTGTGTATGTATATGTCATAGTTTATTCATTCATCCAGTAATGGTTGCTGCCCCTCTTTTGCTTTTGTCAATAAAATCACAATGAACATTAGTATGCATATGCTTACTTATGTCACAGCTCTTACTCATCTACCTGATATACCTAGTAATGAGATTGCTGGGTAATATGGTACTTCTAGTTCTAACTTTTTAAGGCTGCATCATATCATTTTGCAGAGAGGCTGTACCATTTCGTAGCCTCACCAATACTCTAAGAGAGTCCTAATCCCTTCACACCCTCTAACTAGCACTTTCACAGTGGCTGTAACATTTTACAATCTCACCAGCAGCATAAGAATGAGCCAGTCTCCCCAGATCCTTGCCAGAAGTCTAACTTCTCTATATGCTTGCCAGAAAATGTTTTCTGTTTTTCTGAACTTTGCTATTACTGCTGGGATGAGATGGTTTTGATATTCAGACAGACTAACAGAATAGCTGCAACAGTGGCCTGCGGCAGTGGGCTCAAACAGCAGTGATTTCGAGGATGGCACAAACTCAGGCAATACTTCACTCAGCTGGTCAGTGATTTGGAGGCAACTCAAAAGCATCTAACCACCACCATGGCTAATGAGTGGGAGCATTTTTGCATGTGTGTTGGCTGCCTGTATGTCTTCTCTGGGAAACGTCTGCTCACGTCGATTGCCCAGTCTTTTTGTTGTCAATGTGTTGAAGTTCTCTATAACTGTTCAAGATTAGTCCCTTGCCAAATATGTCAATGGCAACCAGTCTTTAGTATTTTTTCATAGTATGTTAAACAGGATCAGGGCCAATCTTTTAAGTCACACCTTTGAAAACAACAAACCTTCAGCCCAATGTAGAGCTGAAAAATGTGGAAAACTAATGTTGAAAGGATAAATCCTGCTATAGCTGCTAAACAGTAAAAGCTTTTGACTTGGTGTTACTCCATTCAGTAGCTAGGCAAGATGGGCAATTAGAACTGAGTCCACATAAAAACTGATTAGCATGGAAAGTATTTGACTCACACATCTAATTAGGAGCACAATGATGGGAATGGCAGAAAGAGTGGGTGGAGAAAGAGGGCTTAAAGCCTGCTATAAAAGTATAGTCCTATTTCATTCTAAAATACTGTTAGCTTTAAAAGTTTATAAGCCCCCATATAATTTAATGTGACATCATTCCATAGAAGTCTCTGTTTTAGAATCTGAATTTCCTCTGTGTTAGAAGAGAATTATGCAATTTATGAAAGAGACTGCAAGACACATTGAGCAGAGCTGCATTTTACCTTACCTTTAACTTAAGGTTAGAATCTTAATACTGTGTAGTCAAAATTCCCACTGAGAATCCCTTAAATAGCTAGACTGAGACCCCTAGAAACTCAATATACCAAAACTGACTCTTTTTTGTTCTGGAGCCTCTACCTATTTCTGGGGCAATGAAGGCCAAGGTCTGCTTTAAAACAGGCAGGTAAGAACACTGGGTAAATAAGGTGATTTGTCTCTTTTTATAAATAGTTGAATTAGCGTGTAAGTTAAACACGGAATTGAAGCTACATAGACAAAGTGGCCAGGCCCATGATCCTGACGCTACTAACAACAATTTCAAAAAATCTTCAAAAGTCTGGAAGATCAATTTGGGCATAGCCTCTTGCTTCGTTAATTTTATCTCTGCAATCTCACAACGCATATTTCACGAGAGATCTTCGGATGAAAAAGGTGCCTTTGGGAATGAGTACTAATTCCAATCATAAGTAAATATGTTAAGGGCACGCGATTTCTCAACTTGGGAGCAACCCACCTGCGTCAAAGAAAAGGCCAACTCAGGAGGTCCGATCGTGGCCACCAATGAAGTTCTATTGGAGGGCGGCATGACATGCAGGCAGGGACACGGTGTGTGCACGTCAGCCTCTTAAGCCGGGGGCCACTCCAAGGGGGAAAAGCAACATCTCTCATGCAAAGTACCCTGCACACAGAGAAGCTTCTAAAGCTTGACTGATATTTGGGCAGGGGTCTCCTCAGGGAAGCAGCTACTAAAAGGGCACCACCATGTGTCACTGACCCCTAAACTTCTAAGAAAACCAGAAAGAATTCAATTAAAAGTGCAGGAAAGAAAGGAGGGAAAAGTGCAGGGGGAGCCACTAACACCAGAAGGATCAGGGCGACGGGATGCTCCAGACCACCCAGGGGAAGGGCGGCAGTTCTCAAGGGACTGACGCCCAGCAAGGGAGTCTAGGCGCCCAAGCAAGCACTCTCTCCCATTACCTGACGGCCGTCATGGTTTCACCTCCCTGCCTTCCGCAGCGGCACCCGCGTGCGATGTTTCGGCGTCCCGCACCCGCAGCAGCAGGTACCAATACCACCGCTCCCCAGCGCCGGCACTCCGCAACAGCGAGCGCGTCCTCACACACCCCGCGCACGGGCGGCCCCGCGAGCCGGCCCCGCGCGCTGATTGGCCGTGCCAGCCGCGGGGGCGGGCCCTCCGCCCAGTCAGGGTGGAAGGCCGAAGAACGTGCTCGGGCGCCGCGGGCCAGAGCCGACCGCCCACCCTGCTCCTGTGGCTCTCTGCGCCGCGGCTAGCGGGCGGGCTAGCGGGTGCGGGGGCCATCTTGGCTCCGGGTAACACCGTTCCCCCCGCTCTGGCTTCCTTACAAGACGTGAGGCTGGGTGCCCGCCTCAAAAATGGCCGCTCTGACTGGCAACTCGTATGCTAGTCACATGGTCTCGGATCTACTGCAAGTTCAGGGCGCGCTAACTGGACTTAGGAAAGGGTCGCAGGCTCGGAAGCCAGGTCATGCGAGGCAAGTCAAATCTTTGGTGATGGGGTTTACCTGCAAGGCCCATTTGGGGGGGGGGGGGGTGTAAAAGACTAGTAGAAGTTAAACACTTGGCGGCTGCAGCAGCATATGGTACTTTCGAACTCACAGCTTTTGAGAGTCAGTTGTTCATTCTGTTGATCCCTAGAAGTTCTTGGGAAGGATCTGAGGTTCACTTTAAACCTAGTGAATCACATTCTAGAAGCGTGAGGCATGGCATTGGTATTTTCAGCACATTTACTGGTGATCTGTCTAGCTATTTGAATGGAAAGTTTTAAAACTGCCTCTAGGCTAAGGCGATTCTAATTTAGATTACCTGTTCATCACCTCAACTCTCCTGACTAGTAAGCAGTGCGCTAAGACAGGTATCTAATATCACATGCATACCCTAAACCCTAACTTCGTAATTTGTTACTGTTAGGAGTGTCAGCAAGCTAAATTCAGTGGGGTTGCAAAATTGACTGAAACACTAAGATAACGACAAGACTAATTCCAACTGAGGGTGAGAGAAAGGAAAGAGGGGAAAATCAGTACATGCTTTAAGACCAAAAAGAGCTTTATCTCTCTTCCCTTTTAGGGTCGCTATGAGTCGCAGGCGACTCGACGGCACATAACAACAACAACAAAAACAGTAACATTGAATATATTAACAGGCTGCAGTCTCCAGTGACATTCCTGACCATATAGGAAGGTGATAAATTTCAGAGATCTGAAAGCAGTTATATAAAAAACACAATTCAACACCCGCAAGCTGTGACGTTTACAAATTTTTAACATTTAGGGAGCGCTGGTGGCCTAGTGATTAAGACGCTGTGCTACCAACCCCAAAGAAAACGGTTCAAATCCACTAGCTGCTACATGGGAGACAGACGGACAATCTCTTCCTATTACTGCTTCTGAAAACCCGCTGGAGGGTCAGCTATGGGTTGTTTCCGCTAAATGTGGCAAAATGTAGTTACTGTAATGGAATGGATATTTAACTTCATTTAATTTTTATTGCGTTTAAAAGTTAAAAACTGAAGCAATGTAAAATATTTTACACTAATTAAACACAACTTTATTGTTTTCATTAGACTATACATGTTTTTAACCACTGAAATTTAACATGCAAATAGAAGGTGCTACACTTGTAATAGGGTTAGCTATGGATTAGTTCTGACTGAAACATCCACATGGTTGTAATAAACACACAATATTTTTCAAATATTATGAGAAAAAAGAAGGTAAACTATCCCAACAATATTTTTTTTTTCTTGTGTGTACTATGGAGTCCTATCCAGCTGGCACAAGAGGATATTGCCTATCCTTCTTCCAGCAGGACATCGGGAGGATTCAATGTCTTCGGGATTGCAGTACAGCTTCTTGCCACTAGGCCACCAGAGCTCCTTTCCCAGCAATAATTTTTGTACTGATTACATGTTGAAATGATGCTCTGAATATAGTAGGTGGTGGTGGTTGTTGTTGTTATGTGCCGTCGAGTTGCGTGCGACTCATAGCGACCCTGTGTACAACAGCCCTAAACTCCGCTCTGTCCTGTGCCAATCGCACCGTCTCTGATACTCCCATCCCAATTATCCCAGTCACTGAATCAATCCACCTCATAGAGGGCCTTCCTCTCCTGCGCTGTCCCTCCACCCTCCCAAGCA